ATTAAATTCAAATTTTAACTTTCTAGAACCGTATTCCGTTTTGTTTTTAAATATTCTCCGTTATAGTAGTTGTAGAGCATGGAGATATGCTGGATGATTCTGGAATTAATTTACTTAGAAGACAATATTAGTGCACTTTGTATTCATTTTCACCTTAATAAATCACTTTCTTTTTAATTAAATCTTCATTCTTTTAATAAGACTTATTGCGATTCATTGTGCGTGTTGTTTTGTAAAAGCTCCCTTTCTATTCATAATTTCTTTTATTCAAATTCCTAGATGTTTCATTTCAATTCATTTCTTTTAACATACAGTCTATTCTGTAAATTCCTGCTTCATATTTTAAGTTGTTATTATCAATTAAATCTCTTATTGTTTTCCAATAGTTTTAACAGATTTTACAGATGAAGTTTTTTTTTCAATTAGGTAGGTTGTATTAATTAATGACGGGATTTTTAGACGCCTAAAATTATCATTATAAACCTATAATTCATACCGGATTTTACTTGTATTTTCACAATTAATACTGATTTTTACGGTGGATATTAATGGGTTAACTCATAGTTACATGTGCAATTCTGATTTGGTGGATGTTTTCACGATGATGTTCATCCTGTACACGACCCAAGAGCCACTCAAGGTAGTAGGTAGTATGAGTTTGTTGTTTCTGTTGTGAGAATTCTTATGGTGTGGCTTTTTCTATTTGGTAAAATTCTTTATGATTTTGTAGTGTCAATCTGTTGTTTCTGATAAAGGATTGCACTCTTTTAGACCTAATTTATTTATCCGCTATTTTAATCGTTGATCTGAGAATACGGTTGTATGTTAATGTTGGACGCCATGCATGTCATGCATATGAAGGCCGGGATCTGACGATTTTCAGATTAGTTTTAAGACTAATATTTAGGATTTGAAAGTAAAACTTAGATCAGGTTTTGGCCCCTTTTCCTTTCCATATTCCTATTTAATGTCCCATATACCCAGAATTCTTCATGCTTAAAACCGCAATGATAAGTGTTAGCTCCCAATTCTTCTGATAAGCTTTTCAATTAATTAATTAAAAGTAACACAAATCACCAGATACTTACGGTCACTCAATTCTATTAAACATCACAACGTTAAATTCAATCTGTCCACACGCTTTTTAATCATGATTGAAAACTAAGCCTTTTTTTAATGTGGGACGGCATATGGTAAAATGGAAGATGTAGTGGGAAAAATCGTTGAGATAATCTTATAAGCCTTGTAAATCAGCATACGAAATCCTGACTTTAATCTAGATTCGATCACGTCTTATGTGCATTAAATGACACCTATTCACAAACGTTTGGATTATAAAATGCCTGAATTTAATTCCACTAGGTGATGAACATTTTGATCGCCTCTCTTGTGTACTCATCCCATGCGCTTGAATATTGGAAGTACTTCGTAAGAAGCAATTAATGTGTTTCAATTAGTGTGACTTAATTAAAATTCCCCTTTCACAATCCTCGCTGACTCGAATACGAAAACGAGGCAAGTTATTTTTATTGCTTCTTTTCTTGATTGCCCTAAGAAGGGTTTATTCTCAGAGTATTAAAAAGATGTTTCAATATTAGTTACCTGGTTGGAACTGTTTGTTAACATGAAATTCCATAGATAAAAGGTATTCATTCATACAATAATAAAAAGTAATTCATAGCATTGTCAATGGTTTTCTTCCGGTAGATAACCTAAGAAAAGTTTAACTCTTATCTCTACGACACTTACTGAATATTTTCATAGAATAATGAGGACAATTCTTTACAAAACTTCAGACAGTAGTGAAAAAGCCAAAGAGGTCGCCGGTCGTAAGGAATGTCTGAGACAACAAGGCTAAAGAAGTTAAAAAGAATTATTCAGAGAATAATGGTGACACTTCACCATAACACTTTAGATAACACAAGAACGGCTGAAGAATATAAATGTCAACAATGGAAATTATTAATATTAGTCTGAATAATTTAGAAGATAATGAAAATACATCTCGAAATTTCTAGCAACAAACTTCCAAATTAATTATGAAAGCATTGCACTTGTAATAAATTAAACTGGTTGTTTTTGTTTAGTGGCATATCAACCTCTATGGTTTATTTAATGTCGAAATCTAAATATTTTTGTACACAATGTAATTTTGTTTTTTAATATAATAATTGTTTGGTGATACAAGTAATTATACTAATTAATCCATAGCTGGGGAGAGAGGAGGTGGATTCCTACCTTTCCGAAGTATATTTGCGCGTAAGTGAATATAACCAACCCAACTGGAAATAGAACTCGATTATCCGATTAACAATTCCGAGTCATCAACACATCTAAGCTTACAGCACCTGGTGTCCCCTCTAGGTATTGACCAGGCTTGACGTTGCTTAACTTCGGTGGTCGAACGGGAGCCGATGTTTCAGCATGATATGGCCGTAAACATAATAGAAGATTAGTTTATGACGCTAATAGAATGGGTTTGATCCTAAGTGGATTCTCTAACGATCTCTTCCTAACAATTTCGATATTGAATGAGTTTTCGACCATTGTTGGAGGAGAATTATTTTCCACCCTCCAACCTCTCTCTCTCTCTCTCTCACACACACACAGGCGGGATGTGGCCAGTCTCTCATTGCTCTATCGCTACTATCATGGAAAGTGCTCAGACGAACTACAATCATTGGTTCCACCAGGCCTAGCCTTCATGGATAGGAGCCGCCATGCCACTTATAGTGATTTTCCAAGTGTAGCTTAGCTGTTGCACAAGGCCGAATGTAGGGGGCACCCAGTGAGAATCGAACTCACTACTCAGTCGTAATTGTTCTAGTGAGACAAGCTTGCTAACCATTACACCGCCTCGAGGTGCCCCTGCCATGCCACTTATATAGTAGCAAACCACCCACATTCCCCTCTGTATTCCAGTGGCGACATGTAAGTTCCACTCAATCAAGTTCTTCCAGCGAACTTCTGGTCTTTGGAACAGAATCACTACAATCTTAACCTGTTAAAGTACTGAGTTAACTGTTATCTTCTCTCCTATCCATATAAACTAACTCTTAACGTAACCCTCTACCTTGTGTGACCCCCGGCCTTGTACAGGGTGAAAATTACTGTAAAAAATATCCATCAGACAAACTTCCTAAGTTTAGTAAATTACTAAAACAAAAACAAGTAACTGGTTAATCACACCACCATTAATACTGCTTGTTCTGTTCGTTATCATTACGATTTAGCGCATGCGTATTAAGCAAAATTTCTTAGATTATTTCGACGAGACTTTAAACTAAATAAAGTATAAAATCGCATACTTCAATCAATGGAATCGAATTCATTGCGACAAACTGTTGCCTGATTTAGCAAATGAGAATAAATATTTAATGATCTCATAAATTAATTAAAACAATTACTCATCCCACCCCTAATTTAACTAGATTGCCGTCTATCCCAGTTGAAAAACGATGAAAAACGTGACCTAAATCATACAGCTATCTTACTTTTTCCCGCCTATACCGTGTGGGTATTGCAAATTTATTTCAAATAAAACTGTTTGGAAGCAGAAAGTTCGGTCACGGCCACGAAATTTTTACCTCTGTCTGTATTTACAAAAATCATTACTATTTGAACCACCAAGCTTCACATAAATACTTATGCCTCGAAGATGCGAGGAATTTTATAAATAAAGGAACTTTTTAATTCCCCGAGATTAGTGAGATTATATAACATAGATTTCACGATGTGGAAAGATCTTCCTACAACTTAACACGAACCAATGGTGCCAAAACAAAGCTTTCTCTTCACTAAGCAAGTAATTCTTAACCTCGGCACATAGTGGAACTGGCGTTTTCGAACATTTTTCAGTCTTCTATAAAAATTGAAATAAATATCACTGTCATTATTTCCCATTCATGGATTTTAAATTACCCCTACTCAGTTCGGGTCGTTCTGGGCCAAAGTTCATATCGGTTCAGTAGAGTCTAGAATTACATACACTTTAATTATAACGTTACCATTTTTGTCAAGTGTATTGTGGGTTACCTGCACTTGACTGTGCCTTGCTTTAATCTTAGAAAAAGGCTATCTTTTAGGAGGGGGGGGGGTTCAGCTCTGGCTTTCACATGTAGTCAGACGTAGATAGGAACGCTGCCGACTAGAAGCATTCGTTTCCTTCCTTTGACTTTTGACCTCTCTCACACATGCATATACACACACAGGTGTCTATCACACACGTTTGTTACGCACACACAGCCACGCACACATGCACACAAGCAAGTACATTTTTCTTATAACTTGTTTTAATTTTTAGTGTGTTGGCTACTTCAAGAATTAATGTAAGATTTCTTACAAGAATATTTTAGCAAACATGAAATAATGGTGGTAAAAAGGATCAGTCAGTCAGTTATGTGCCATGCGTGATACACGCTTAGGCGATCATGTATCTTTCGATACATGACTGACGGGGCAGATTTTTTTCCCGCAGTAGGTTGCCATTTTTCTGGGGTAAACCAGTTGCCATCCAAGGCTATCGAACCCGGTCTGTCTTGTTATTTACCCATAGCTGGCGGGAGAAGTGAATGTAATTGATTCCTCAATCTGAGCCGCTATCCATTACTCCACCGTGCCTCCCCGGTGAAAAGGTTACAGGCACAAAATAACAGAGGCACAAAGTAAAAGACGAATTGATTTGCAATGCATGATAACATTTATTAATCAAAAAGTAACACACGGTCGTTTGTTTTACATTCATTGATGCCACTCGTAACAATATGCATTCATAATAGATATATATATATATAGATAGATAGATAGATAGATAGATAGATAGAAAGAAAGAAAGAAATGCCTGATCGCATTTGCCAAGCTGAGATCATTAATAGTGTATTCAGTTCGATCCTCACCGTGTGCTCCATACGCGGAATTTTGTGTGATATTAGTCTAAGCCTGAGAAAGATTATGTATCGTTGACATTCTGAGACTCAGAGATGATCTTTAATTCCTGAAGAATGCTTTTATTTATATCGGCTTTGCTTCTTCTTTCCCCCCTTTCTTTATTTCTTTATATTTGTTCTGACCTCTCAAATGGCACCAAGTTTTCATTGCTTCCTAAGCCAGACGACATCATCATTACAACAAAATCCGCCTTTCGCCGTAGATTTTACGCAAGTATTGCTTCCGTTCTGAGATCTCGGTAAACAAGAGATTATTCCTAGCTAACTTGATTAGAGTAGGCAAAAGTTGCAGGCGAAATGCACAAGGAAGACATGCCTTTACAAGAGCTTTCTCTAGGGAAAATGTGTGGGTGGGTTGATGGTTTGGGAGAATAGCAAAAAAATATATATATATATAAGCCATTCACTTTCTTTTCTAAATCCGCAGAATGAGTTGACAAGAAGTTAGGCTTTGTCTGTAAAGTAGGATTAGTAAACTAATATAAATAGCTCAATCGTACAGAGAAGTAGAGAAAGCCAACAAGGAATTGATTTTTACTTTTACCTCGGTATTTGCTCAGTAGTAAAACAAGTAGTAGTTTACTATATATATATATATATATATATATATATATATATATATATATATATATATATAAAAACAAGTAGTTTACTATATATATATATATATATATATATATATATATGTGTGTATGTGTATATATATATATATATATATATATATATATATATATATATATATATATATATATATATATATATATATATGTATGTATGTAGCTCAAAAATTGATATTGAAGTTTTAAAATGCATTTTAAAATGCAAAACTTTCTTGAAGCTTTTATTTTAGTTTTAATTCCAAAATTAAATTTAAATTTTCCAACATGCAAGATTCTTTGCTGTTTTTCTAACCGTGTTTAAAATGATTGGAATTATTTTTTCTGAATGTCAGAAAAACGATAAAATCGTGCATATTAACAAATCTGTCAACACAACATGATTCTCTTAATTAAAAAGATCTTTCAGAAATAATATATACTTTTCTGAAATGTTATTTGAGAACAATTAGCTGATTTAAAGTTTAATTAATCTAAATTGAAACAAATATTACTTACCTTTATTTTAAAATATCACAGAAAAAGATTTTTTATGAAGCGCTGACATTAAAATACTGTGGGTAGCTGAATTGTTGTGGCCTTTTCCATTTATGATTAGTAAATACAGTTTTTATTTAATAACAATATCATTTGGCCACTATAAATTAATACAAATTGTTAAAAGATTTTAAAATTTATATAAAATTATTATTAAACTTTAAAGTAGGACGTTTTGCCCATAATATTTATTTAGACAAGTAATTAAACGCTTTTCTAATTAAATAATGTCTTTTATTGCATTTTTTATTTTACGATTCAAAGCAGATTTTCAAGTCAGGTCGCTGATTAAAAGAATTTAATGATTTAAATTCTTCGAAGACTTATCCTAATAAATAATCAAAACATTAAACAAGTACAAAAATTAAATAAGTTGGGTGGTAACAGATGTACAAAAATATATTTTTACGATGATTTTCTAAAAACGAAAAACATAGAAATAATTTAATTCATTTGTGAATAATTTCTGAAAGTTACATTAACATCTCACAATTATCTGATTTTTGCAAGAATTTCCAAAACAATGTGTTTTTCACTGCAAAAAGACGCTCAAATTTCCCACACAAATTTATGGTCCCACGTTGACGTCAGAAAAAAAAAAAGATTTTTAACTAAAATTTCCATGGTTCTAAAAATGATTTAAAAAATAATTTTTACATCTAAAATCCTTTAATCTTTCCTCTTAATAATTCTTGACGATAAAATACCAAAGGAATAAAAAACGAGTCCACATTGTTAAGGGGAATGTAGAAAAGTCAGCTACTACTTACTGCTGCTTTGGTTTGTCGAGGTGCCATGGTTTGCGTCTTACCCCAAGCACGGTTAATGAAGTGTTGGACAAGTTATGACATTAGAAGTCAGCTGAGTAAATTAATTGCCGGCAGTAACATTTATTTATACGAGGGTCATTCAATAAATAATGTGAATTTTTCGGTATAAGGACTTCTAATACAGATAGAAGCTTACTTTTTTTATTTTTCAATGTAGTCTCCCAGCACTGTCACGCACTTTTCTCATCTGTGCACAAGCTTCCGTATTCCATCAGCGTAAAAATCTTTGGACTGATGTCTCAGCCAGTCGCTCACAACACTTTTGACTTCATCGTCACTTTTAAACTTCGTGCCTCTCATGAACGCTTTCAAGGGACCAAACAGGTGAAAGTCTGAAGGGGCAAGATCTGGGCTGTAAGGGAAATGAGAGAGCAGTTCCCAGCCCAGCTCGTTGGTAGTCTGCACCGTTTGGGCTGCTGTGTGAGGCCTTGCGTTTTCATGATGCAAGATGACTCCTTCTGACTGATGACCCCTGCGTTTGTTCTTCATGTAAGCCCAAAGTCCTTGCAATGTCATCCACTGTCAGCCTTCTGTCAGATTGAATGAGGTCATTGACTGATTCGATCACCTCAGGAGACCTCACTTCTGTAGGCCCCCCAGGCCTGTCTTCAGCCTCAACACTGCCCCGTCATTCTTTAAACAATTTAGCCCACTTGTAGACATTTTTTGGCTGAAACATGTGGCACCATACACAGTTGACATTCTCCTATGAATTTCAACTGGTTTGCACCCTTCAGCAACCAAAAACTTGATAACTGACCGCTGTTCAATCCTGGGGCATGCTTCTTGGTCGGCCATCTTTGTTAATCGCCAAAACTCTCAAAGTTTTTTTTTAAACTGCAAAAGAAATTAAATCCATGTTAAAAAGAAGTAAAACAAACAAAAAAATAAAAAAAAGTAAGCTTCTATCTGTATTAGAAGTCCTTATACCGAAAAATTCACCTTATTTATTGAATGACCCTCGTATATTGAATGTTGATGTGTGGGCGTGCGCTAATTTATATATTTTTAAGTTAACCACCACAGAGCTCTCAACTCTATTTCTTTAATCGGGAGTTGGTTGACACGCTTTTCTGTTCGTACACATCACACCCGCTTTTACATCTAGAGTGTTCATGAAATGGTCCCGCAACCTTACAGTAAACTGTCTTAATCTCGTCAGCACTCTTTTTCAAGGGGTAGGGGCAATATTTTAGGAACATCAAAATTGTTCACTTTTAATTAGTGATTCTTATATGTTGTTAATGTTTGTGCTGGGTCTGCTGTTCGAGTTACTAGAGAAAGATAAGTGCGCGAATGCTTATTCTCCATTGACATTTCGGCTTCATTCTATAGAGGTCAAATATGATTTTGTTATTTAATACAAAAAGTTGTGATAAAAATGACAGATGAGACATGATTAAAACACTTCGTATAAAAAGGAATTAAGTCGATACCGCTGGCTATGTAAGTATCTCAAAAGCTTTTAATAGTTTTCTCTCATCAAATATAGAATACTAAATTTATATTCGATGTCGTAATTAAAGAGAGCTCTGAAAAACGAACTCGCTACTTTATCAGTGTCCTGCGAATTTAATTTGCTAAACATTCCTCCATAGACGAAGCATAGATAGATAATTATCTTCTATCTTCTTTCGATACATGACCGACAAGGTAGATTTTCCCGCAGAATTATTTACCCATAAATAGCAACCACACAAATAGCAACATAGGATTCATACCTTTCCCAAGGGTATCAACACGTAAGTGAATGGATATGACTCCGATTTCTCAATCCAAGACACTGTCCATTACTTTACCGTGTGTGTGTGTGTCTGTGTGGGGGGTATAGGTTGAAAAACATCACTCTATGGTAGGCGCTCTTTTGCATTATCTATTTGCATTTGAACAACGTTTCGTTTTGTTTTTGTTACTTTGATTTATTTCTATCAAGAAGGCAATTTTTCATCCTTTTATTCTATGAAGTTTTCACTGTTCCTCGATAATCTTTTTTACGGGTTGATCTTTGTGAGTTTTTCTTTTTTTAATATTTTTCTCTAATTTAGCTTTTGACATTTTTAATTTTTTCCTTCTGATTTCTATGTAGACTGAAATTGTTCTTTCAAAAGTGTTTCCAAAATTTATTAAAAAAATTAACGCTATGGGCTTTTTTCTTTGAATGATTAAAATTTATATTTTTACGATTTTTTTTCCTTTTTTTACTACGATGAATATCTTTTCAGAATGCTACTCTGGGATGTAAATAATATTTACTAAAGATATAATAATAACCAATAAAATCTATCTAATTTTAACCCTGGATTCAACCATAGCTTTCATGCTAATACATCATTACCACCATCCAAAGAGACCCTAACAATCCCACACGATATCAGTAGACTATATATAAACAGATAAAAGAGTACCGAACTGTTACGGGATATCTGGCCTCCCATATGGCAGCTGGACAATCTCCTCAAAGAGGAAGATGAGACTTGAAGCAACAGAAATGTGGTTCTACAGAAAGATGCTGATGGCTAACATGGACCGAACACGACGAGGTTTTAGAGAAAATGGAAACAAAAAAGAAATTTTTACTTAACATCAGGAATAAGCAGTTGAAAAATTATGGGGCATATAATGAGGAAAGAGAGCTAGGAAAATCGGATACTCACAGGACAGATTGAGAGAAAAGGAGACAGAAGGAAAACACCGCGTAACATACTTGATGAGCTTGACCAAAATGGATGGTAGCACAGAGTTTGGGAGAAATCACAAAAAGACAAAATTTATTAAGAGCTACAAGAGACAGGAAGATGTGAAGGGCCATGATCGCCTCCGTCCTGAAGGACGCGGCACATAAAAGAAGACTAACTCCATGGTGATTCACCCTATTTAGAGACCTAATCTTGACTGCTGCAGACATTTAAGATTAGTTTTTCAGTTTATACTTAGCGTCCAACTTCGACTTAACCAACCACGTTTATTACCTTTTACTTCCATAATTATCTTCAATTAACCGGACGAATAACAATGTCAGAACACTGAACATAAAATATATCTTAGCATAGTGATGGGAAAATTTTTCTAATTTCCCCCGAAGATTCATATTTTTCAAGTTCGATTTTATCTAATTTTTTTTTTTATGGTTCTTATAAACCATAGAGTCGAGGTATTTTTAAGGTGGAATTCTATGAATTGTAACATTTTTTCATTAGCCTCTTTATTTATTTGCCGAATTTGTGCGTCTCTTTATTGATTTCGTATTTTTTTAAT